CGGAGACTTGCCACGGTCTCCAACCCTCCTCGTTTCTCATCCGGGCTTGGGACCGGCCATGGCGGAGTTACGACATAATACTTATCGCAAAAAATGCTACAAGAGATCAACGAACGAAGTAAAGAAGTGGGTCTTAAAATCAACGCAACAAAAACGAAGGTGATGCAAAGTGTCGGCATGTACAAGGCCAATTTACAGATAGACGGCACGGATTTAGAAGAGGTCAACAACTTTGTCTATTTGGGCCCAGAATTGATTGAATATACGCCATGACCTCCTACCAGAGGTTATGCATCGAAGGCTGTCAGATGGCGCAAATTCTACAGCATCATCGATGTCCTCAAAAAGATCGTGGACCCGAAGGATCGTGCCAACCTCTTTAACAGCGTAGTGTTGAAGGCAATGACGTACGGATGCGAAACGTGGGCACCGACGAAGGCGAAAGAGAACATGTTGGCTGTGACGGAGAGAGCAATGGAACGGAGGATACTTGGAATATCTCTTCGTGACCGTATCGATAACAAAACTCTCCGAAAAATGAGTGGCGTGCAAGATATCGTGCAAGCCATGAGAGTGAGCAAGATCCGTTGGGCAGGCCACGTCGCACGTCTCGATGACAACCGATGGACCTCGCGCATTGTAGAATGGTACCCGAGAGAAAGAAAACGACCACTGGGGCGACCTCCGATGAGGTGGCGGACGAACGCGGAGGAAATAGCAGGAAAGAACTGGATACAAACTTCAAAGGACAAAACTGGCATGATTGCGCTCGGCGTGTGGGAACTATGAAGAATCCACACTAAAAGCCCGAACAATCTTTGAAACTTCGAATTTATTTAGTTTTTAATGAGGCTTTCGACAGTATTATTTAGGTTAAGTCTTTTTCTGTTTCTTAAAACGGGTCATATTCAATGACACGATTTAAGTATAAAAAACTTTGACCATCAGCCGGTAGCACAGCAAAACTTAAAATGTTTCATATTCGGCACAGTCTAGGAAGAAATTCCTCAGTGATGAAGAACTCAATAAAAAAATAAATTTATCCAATAAAAAACAATTTCACAGAAATTAGAAATCTGAAACGGCTTAACTCGTATTTTAAAAAATGAATCGTACCTAAATTTCCAGCAAATGGACAAGCTATTAGATTAAAGGCTGATGGATCAGGGATTTGCCATTTCATTTCAGAAACTTCAAATTTCCTAAAATATAGCAAACTGTCAAAACGAATGCCCCAAACAATTCAAAATTTTGCATCACAAATTAATAATGATACCG